GACTCCACTGTGTTAGTTACATATATCATATCACCTAGTTTTTACCATACCCTTCAAAGGAGGTGTTACTGTGTCCTTTTACAAATGAAGAAACTGGGTTCAGAGAGGTTAAGTAACTTTTCCATGCTCACATAGCAAATGAGTGATGGAGCCTGGATTAGAAAACAGGCCTAGTTGACTTCAAAGCCCAAGCTATTTATAGCTCTATTGTAGTATAAGAAAGGCAATCTGTGAAATTTTGTGTTTTCAGGGTTTTTCATGAAGAGAGAAGTGGAAATTTTCAATTGGCTTCTGGATTTTCAAATGTGAGCATATATCCACCTGATAAGTCCACTCCAAAGAAGACCAATTTTTGGAAGTCAATTCAATGTGACCCTCCGTAGCAGCAGCTGACTGGACAGAGAATCCTTCTGGTATGGTAGAAAACACAGAAAACATACTTTAGGGAGGACTCCATGTGCCTGTAGTCTGTTGTTCAGTATACATCATTCTCCTGTTTAGTACAAGCTAACCAGTTGCTCCCAAGTAAGTTATGACTCATGGTAACCCCATGTGTGTCAGAGTAGAACTGTACTCCATAAGGTTTTCAATGGCTGATTTTTTTGAAGTAGATTGCCAGGACTTTCTTTTGAGGTGCCTCTGTGTGGACTCAAACCTCCTGCTTGTGGTTAGCATCTGACCTTGTTAACCATTTGCATCACCCAAGGACGTTCCTCAAATCATGTTGTAGTTAGTTGCTGTTGAGTCCATTCCAACTCATGATGACCCCATGTGTGCAGAGTAGAACTGCTCCATAGGGTTTCCCATGGCTGTGTCCTCTCAGAAACAGATCACCAGGCCTGTCTTCCAAGGCACCAACATTTCCACTAACCTTAAATTGTACTAACAGTTATAATTTATGTCGTGATTTACATTTGTATCATTGTGCATATCTCTTCTATTTTTTTCTTTCCTTCCAATTCCTCTTTTCATCTTCTTTCTATGTTCTTTTTTACCTATTCTTTTCTACTTCTCAGATTACGTATTTCCAAAGCTTCATGAAATACTTGAGTGTTGGATGTAGGTTTTCAGGTGGATGTTTCTTTCTAATCTTCTATTCTTCTGTTATATAAGGAGCCCTGGTGATGCAATGGTTAAGCACTCGGCTGCTAACCAAAAGGTAGGCAGTTGGACTCATGAGCAGCTCCGTGGGAGAAAAGACCCAGCGATCTACTTCTACAAAAACTATGGCGTAGGAAACCCTATGGGAAGTTTTATTCTGTCCTATAGAGTTGTTATGAGTTAGGACTGACTTGACGGCACGCAGCAACAACAACATATGTTATATAGAGATTCATTTTCAAGCCACTCTGAAGAAGAGTCATAATCTGTTTTCTATATAACATATAAGATAAAGATTATAGAGGGTTAGGAGCCTTCTGAATACAGACTATTACTTATGCTTACTATCCATTTTGAAATGAGAAATATTCTTCTCTGCATGAGGAATCTATTGGAAAAGATTGTAGAGTGAGAAGGTATTATTAGGCCATCTCTCATTCAAGAAATACTAATTTTCATGTCTAGTTGAGAATTTTGGGTGATGTACAAATGACATTTTTAAAGCATTATGGTTAATAGCAAAAGACTCTACAGATTAAAAATCAAGGTGTTTTCTACTTTCTGTATAACTGCCGTTCATATTTGAAGATACCGATCACAGTCTCTCTTCTCTCTTTCTGCTAACACTGGTCCCTTTCTTTGAAATTCTATTATACTTTTCTCACACTTTCAACAAATAATTTCTCTACTGTTCATATGAGATATACCGTATGTTGCCTTATATTGCAGCTAATATGTGTGTAATTTGTGTCTTTCCAACTGGTTTCTTGAGTTTGTGACATACAGACTTTAGAAAAACAAAACAAATCCTGACCATTATGGACTGGAAATGTCAAGAAAGGCATTATTAAAAAATTGAGACTTTTTATTGACTTAAGGAGAGTAAAATTTGGAGAGGTAGAAAGGATGGTGTGATAATGAATATGCCTTAAAAAATTTTACTATTGTTGTGTCCGTTCAAATGAGCATCAGAATAAGAAGAGTGAGCAGACAACATGTGGCAGCAACGATAATGCATGCAGTTTGCTCTTAAAACTTAATTGGTCACTACTTTATGTTGTATTTAATTATTTTTGGCATGTAAGATAATTTAATGCAAATAACAGTTTGTGTACATCCTTTTGATTTATGTCAGCTTTAATCTACAAAATCACATATTAAATTTTGATATTTTATTCTTTCATAGGTTACTTTCTACAGGATCTGTAATTTCTGGACCAGGAACCCAGAGAACTGGGTTCTGGTCCCCAGTTCTGACACTAGTGTGAATATCGGCAATTCAGCTTACATTTTTGGGTCTCAAATTTTTCATCTGAATAATGGTCAACCTGGACCACGTCATCTTTTTGATCTAAGTAGCTGTAAGATACCAATAAGTACTTACGATTTGCCACAAAAAGTCTCGACTTTTTTCCCCATAAGTTGCTGATTTTGCTGAGTTTCTTGGCCCTTTCACCAGTGCCTTCGTCATCTACCCATGCTTTTTCATCCCGTTGGTTGTTTCCTATTCTGTCTGTTCCTTACACAGTGAGCAGTATATATGGTTTCATATTCTCCAGCCCCAGCTCACAGATTTCTGAGAACTGAAGAGCTTGAGGCTATAGGAAGTATGTACCTTGAGGTCATGGGCAGTAGGCTTAGGAGGTGACTGAAAAATCATTTAGTTTAGTTAAGTATAGAGACTCAGCTCAATGTTGGTCATTTAGAATTCGGGTCGGGAAACCATGAAAGCTTCTGGGAATTTTGGGACATAGGGATGTGTAAGGATGGAGGAGGCCATCAATTAGGCAAGCCTTTTTGTGAGAAGAAGATCCTTCAAATTCCTGGAGCTGTCTGCAAAGAGATATGGATGCCAGTAAACATGTTCTTCTGCATCCCGGAAACTTCTAAAGGAATAAACCTGCAGGAGCTGTTTTGAGGACTCATCTTCTCGTGGAAATTAATTATAGTGGGTATATGGACACAAAGAAACAGAACCCTCTCCTCTATCACCATAGCCTCTTCCCCTAACACACAAACATATTCAAAACTTAAAAGGTATCAACTCTTTAGTGTCAGCTTTAGTTGCATATGATCAAGGCCAAAGATAAAGCTCAGGTACCCTCATAATGATACTTATTGAAGTTTGACATTCTTTTCATTTCATAGTTGGATAAAAACTTAAAGATACAATGATCTTGGAGATATGACATATTTGCATGGATTTCAGACACAGTAAGTAAGCATGATGACATAAAATATTAGAACAGGTTGATATTTGAAAAACGGCACTAAATTAAGGGAAACACTAAATAAAAGGATGGGGAATACTACTGAGCAGAAAAAAGGACTAAGGAGGTTGAGGCACTGATTAAACACAAGCTTAATATTTGAACTTTTCCAAGTGCTGGCCGTAAACATCTTAATTTGTGTGAACAAGTAAAAGTTGTTTGCAGATGTATTTCACATTCTTTGTGGCTATATAAGTAGGCATATGCCTTAGCAGAAACTAGGGTGGGATCCCAAATTTTGTACATTTCGTAGACCTGGAGAAAAGTCTTACAGGGCCAGAAATGGGCTACAAAGGGAATTTTATTGAGTGCTGTAGGACTGTGTGTGATTTTTACCAAACTTTTAAGAAATGGGAAGATAGAAAAACAGTGAACCTGATCAAACATGATGAAAAAGAGTGATCATTCTATCTTTGGTAAAGCATTCTGTCTTGGTTATCTAGTGCTGCTATAACAGAAATAGCCCAAGTGGATGGCTTTATCAAAGAGAAATTTATTTTCTAACAGTCTGGTAGGCTCCAAGTCCAAATTCAGGCCATCAGCTTCAGGGGAAGTCTTTCTCTCTCTCTTAGCTCTGGAGGAAGGTCCTTGTCATCAATCTTCCCTTGGTCGAGGAGCTTCTCAGCACAGGGACCCTGAGTCCAAAGGATGTGCTATTCTCCTGGCTCTTGTTTCTTCATGATATGAGGTCCCCATGTCTCTCTGCTCGCTTCTCTCTTTTATATCTCAAAAGAGATTGGCTGAAGGCACAATTCAATCTTGAAGATTGAGTCTTGCTTCATTAACATAACTGCCACTAATCCTATCTCACCAACATCATAGAAGTAGGATTTACAACACATATCAGATGACAAAATTCTGGACAGAACTGGGAATCATGGCCTAGCCAAATCGGTACACATATTTTTTGGGAACACATATCTCTCCTCTGCTGCAACTCTTGCCTGGTGGTAGTATTTCATATACCCCAATTTTATCTATCTTAATCTCAACATACATCTTAGTAGTTTGTTTGTTTCTCTTTAGTTCAGTCCCATGTAATTTTTCAGACAATCTTCACTCCTGGGGGTAATCCTTCAATTAATCATAGTATTTCCTTTCAACCCTAATTTCTGAGTATAAATTCTATGGGGTGGATTATATGAAAGTGAGCATAAAAGGGAAATGGAATGTATTTAAGAGGGAAAAGTAAGGTCAGATATGATATGAAAAGCTGCCTTTTTTCCCTTTGGGGGCAATTAAAAAAAATTATTTCCATGTAGTGTATTTGTATACAACTAACACAGTGTTGTACTTTTTTTTTTTTTTTTTTGCCAACCATGCCCTCTCCCCACGAGGTATTTTCGTAAGCAAGCTATGCTAATAATATTCACTATTCTCTTTGCAAATAAGGGTACATTCTTGCTGGTATATTTTCTTTCTTGCTGCAGGTACCTGTGAAGCTTTTGTTCTTGCCTAATTCTCTATTATTTGAGGCTGTGAGAAATTTTGCTGACAGTTCTAATCATCATGTGTGCTCTTGAGTTGTGCTTATAGCATAATTGTTACTATCATCATCATCATTATTGAGCAAGTATGAAGAATTGGATGACTGGGTAATTCATTCATAATGTGAACACTGCAACGTAAATGATTAAGGTCACTCTCATCCTGAATAATCAAATTTTCCTCCTCATTTTTTTAATTTGCATAATTTCAAGGGCATCCCCATTGGTTGGATCAATGGATGGATGGAATCACTCTGTGGTGTCTGAGTTTGTGTTTCTGGGACTCACCAATTCATGGGAGATCCAGCTTTTCCTCCAGGTGTTCTCCTCTGTGCTCTTTGTGGCAAGCATGACTGGAAACATCCTCATTGTGTTTTCTGTGACAAGTGATTCTCACTTACATTCTCCTATGTACTTCCTACTGGCCAGTCTCTCCTTCATAGACCTTGGGGCCTGCTGCACTCTTTCCCCCAAGATGATTTATGATCTTTTCAGAAAGTGCAAATTCATCTCCTTTGGTGGCTGCATTACTCAGATCTTCTTCATCCATGTAATTGGTGGTGTGGAGATGGTGCTGCTCATAGCCATGGCTTTTGACAGATATGTGGCCATATGTAAGCCTCTTCACTACCTGACGATCATGAACCCACGAATATGCATTTTGTTTCTGGCTGCTGCCTGGGCCCTTGGTATTAATCACTCATTATTCCAATTGGCATTTATAAGTAATTTACCCTTCTGTGGACCTAATGTACTGGACAGTTTTTACTGTGACCTACCCAGGCTCCTCCTACTAGTCTGCAAAGATACTTATAGACTGCAGTTCATGGTCACTGTCAATGGTGGATTCCTTTGTGTTGGATCTTTATTAATACTTCTCATCTCCTACATCTTTATGCTTTTCACTGTTTGGAAACATTCCTCAGGTGGTTCATCCAAAGCCCTCTCAACTCTGTCAGCTCACATCACTGTGTTTTTTTTTTTTCTTTTGTCCAACCATGTTTGTCTATACATTGCCACATCCCAATTCGCAGATGGACAAATATCTTGCTCTCTCTGATGCAGTTCTCACTCCTTTTCTAAATCCAGTCATCTACACATTCAGGAATAAAGAGATGAAGACATCAATGAAGAGAGTTTTCAGACCACTAGAGATTTTTAGAAAGATCTCATAATAATATTATAAGGTATTTATCCTGATCACCACTGACCTTAAATTCTTGTAGCTGACATTTTAGATCAGCTGTTTTAATGCATCAACAATTAATTGGAGTATTACCACACTCATTAAGAATGTTCTTCTTCCCTATGAAGTATTATACAAATAAAATGTTACTTCAAAACTTGTGTTGACTCAGTTGGGGTTGCACAAATGTGTACTAATCATAGTCATTTCTTTCTAGCTGGTTTCTTTGCTTCCTTTTTTCTCAAGATTATCAGTTTATTATTGTCTTTGAAATTACCAATGTATTTCCTCATAATCTGTTTCTCTAGGTAACCAAGATGTTATTTTTTCACTCGCCATCATTTATTTCTATTTTTGCCAATAACGGTGTTCATATCTCATTCAAATTATTCAGGCCTATTATGAGCCACCAACTTTCTTTTTATGATTTGGAGAGTATAGTTATTTTGTCTCTCAAGAAAGTTTTTTCTGTTCAGATTCTTTTTCAAATAGTTGAAAACAAAAACTCTGATTTAAGACAAGTACCAGCTTGAAAGCTTACTATCCATACAGAGGAGTACTATTCTCTCCTGATTCTTTGTGTTCTGTCTCCTACCCCTTTTCTCACTGCTATGTCTCTTAGATATCTGCCCTCATTATCACTAAACGTTTTTCATATTTGTTGACATTTTTGGGAAGAGTTTTTATAATGATATCCGCTATTTTCCTTTTGTTCACATATGTATGTATATAAATGAATCAGTAATTATTATTCCTTTCATTCAGTTGTAGCCTCAAATTATATTTTATTTACTATGTACCTGACATTGTGGTATTTACAGGAAATACACCTAAGAATTCCAAAATTTATGGCTAGAAAGACAGTTGGAGAGATAAATGAATCTAATATTTGCAATACAAAGTTATAGAAATTTTCACTGTGCCTTGTAAAAATCCTATATGAGATTATCTGTCCAGGCCAAAATGTTATAAACCAACTAGAGTCTATATTTCCCATTATAATTGTATTTAAACACTTCAAAAAAAAAAAAAAAAAAAAAAACTAGAGGCGAGGCCAAGATGACAGAGCAGTCAGATGCTTCCGGTGGTCCTTCTTACAACAAAGACCTGAAAAAACAAGTGAATCTACTATATATGATGATCTAGGAGCACTGAACATCAAAGGCAAAGTTGAGGAATCAGACTGAGTGGCAGAGGGAGGGAGAGACGGTTTGGAAGCAGCAAGGAGTTGCCAGACATGACCCTGTGGGAGCCAGAGCCCTTCAGGCCGGATCAGCTCCTGGTGGGTGGTGAGGCAATATCAGTGCTTGGGAGGAGTTTTACACATTGGAAGAGACCCAGAAGTAGAAAGTCTACTTGGTCATCCAGAACCAGTGAGAAGCAGCGAAATATAAGCACTTGTGTCTGGCCTACCCCACGGATAAAAACACCCCCCTTAGGGAAAAAGCTCTCTCCTATTTACCTCCCTGCTCCGGGAGGGTCCGGGACGGCTTCAGTGATTGCCGAGTCCCCTGGGCCAGAAGTAGGATCTGTCACTTGCCCAGAGCCATTCTCTCTGCCTTGGCGAGTAAACAAATTAACACATAGGGGAAAAAATAATCTGCTGTCTCCCCTAAGCCAGGAACTCAGGGTAGGCACAGCTCCTTTGCCTGGCAAGAGCATAAGGGGTCCATGGACTTTGAGTGCTTTTCTGCCTGCAGAGACTTGTGTGAGCCCATTTCAGCAGTGTAGGTCCTCATTATCACAGTACAATGGGGTATACACCTGAAGTCTAACTTCAACTGTTTCAGCTGTGAAGTGGCAGGATTGTGACATTTGACGCTGCCTACTAAGCAAGGTCTTCACCTACCAACATCAGGGGCCTGAAGACTGGTTGCTCCACCCACTCCACCTAGCCACCTGCGATAGGGGCCCAAGAATAAGTGGTGCCCCCCAGTACTTACATCCAACAGCATTGGGTGCTCATAGTCCAGCTGCAAAACCCACTCACCAACACGCTCTAGGGAAAAGGGACAGGCTTTCCTCCCAGACACCCAGGGGTGGCTGTTGGCCCACTTCCTTGCTCAGCATGTGTCCCCCTGCTGCAGCCAGATGCCTGTGCCTACACCAATCACCCATGCCTGTCTAGGACTGTAGGTGAGAAGCTGCACCACACGCTTGGTGACAAACTACCTGGATACTTGAGCTGAATCCATACAGGAGGAGTGGGTGGACTCCTGGACTCACATACTTAGTGTCTGGCCACCTGGTGGCAGGACACTGGAGCTTCAGGAGCACCAGAAGACATTGAAAAGGTAATTAAAAAGCTCCCAACAACAACAACTCTCGCAGGGACAGTTTCACTCGAGAATTCTACTAAACTGTCAGAGAAGAGTTAATACCACTACTACTAAAAGTATTTCAGATCATAGAAAAGGATGGAATAGTCACAAACTCATTCTATGAAGCCAGCATAACCCTGATACCAAAACAAGGTAAAGGTACCCCCCAAAAATAAAATTATAGACCAATATCCCTCATGAACATTGAACCAAAAATCCTCGACAAAATTCTAG